TTAACTATCACCAGTATGATTTTAAAAGAGGTCATTTTTAAAGGGCTCATTTCTCATGATCACATTAATCACCTATCACAGCCCATGACACCAGATCCATAGTTTTCGCGAAGTCTCCGAACTGTGTCCGCCAAGTCACTTGCCATTTGTTTTGTTCCAGAAGGAAATGTGAATTTTTGCTTCCAGAGACATTTCATATTTGAACAAAACCCACGATATGGCAGTTAGCTTTAGGCCTGAAAATTCAAATTTGATTCCTTCCAGCAGGTCTCTTGATTAATAAAAGTAATGCACCAGTAATTCAGGGGCCTCCACTGCTCCCTGCTCTCCCCCACCCCCTCAGATAGCCTCTGTTCTGCAGTCAGATTTCTAGTTTGTTTGGTTTAATTTTCTCTTACATCTTTTTATTCCAAATATGAGTAAAATTACCTGGTCTCGGTCTTCTCCTTCCAACTTGTCTCACTGCGCACCGTGGCGCCAGCTCCATCCGTGGTGTCACAAACGGCAGGATTTCATCTTGTTCTGAGCCTGGTAGGGTTCCATTGCGTGGGTGCGGGCTGGCGTGTGGCCACATACATTGTGTGGGTGTGGTGTGTGGTCACATACATCCTGGACCCCTAAATCATACAAAGTTCTGTAAGCCAGCATTAGCTCAATAAAAAACATTGCAGTTAAAAATGTAATAAGTGAAATACCACTATGGATCTAAGGGAAAAACAAAACTTTAAGACCAAGATGAAAGAAAATTACAGTATTACTGAAGGCCAGTTTGACAGTTATTTTTAACAAGCAAGATAATAGTAACACCCATGTCCTGTGTACTCAGTCTCTCATTTGGAGCAGACAATGGCCAGTGATGGAGAGGGGCTGTAAATGAAAGGGAACTAAAACAGCTGGGGTAGAGGGGCCCGTGAGCGAGCTTGTTGCCTAGGACTAGGAAGAAAGGATCCTGACTGCAGACAGGTAAGGAAAATACTACATGTTTTGGTTTTCAGAAACTTTAGAATTGAACAATAAAGACAGGGAAAAAATTGAGACATAAATGACACGCAGATGCTCAGTGTGATATGAAGTGACTCAAAGGTATGTAAGTGAACAGGCTCACTGCCTGTTTCTGGGGGAGGGGTCTTCATTTTAGGTTCTGTGTCTCTTATTTGTTAGAAAATGGCTATGCTGGGTTTTGCTGTAAAGGAATAGAAGTTAACCTTTATTTTATGGCCCTCTATAAAAGAAAAATCCTTCTACATCTTCCTACCTCCTTCAAATGACAGAACATTGACAGCAGCCCTCTGAAGCTGGAACTGCTTCTGTTTTTGCAGATATACATACCCTCGTAATGCACTTTACCAGATACAAGCCCAGGAGAGGGCTTCAGAGTAGGATTTGTCCTTGAATTATCTCCTAGGGCTCAGTGAAAGCTACAAGTTACTAGCAGACGCCTCAGGCACAATAAACAGCCGTAGTCCAGTAGGGAAAACTCAACACCCACCTTCCCCGCCCCTTGGTCTGCACAGGGTGGGGCTGGGGGGCTCCTGTATGCTCAAGTTGGCTTCCCTCACCAAGCAGAAGGTTTTCTTGGCCCCTAGAAAGCATTATGGATCCTCTCACGGATCCAAGCATCAGTGCTCTGCCCATTGGGAGATTCTTGTTGCTTCTCAGGAGCATGCCTGTCCCACCATTTTCCAGCCCACCAACTCTGGTAACCAAGTCTCCTTTGATGATGTGGTATGAAAGGGTGTCCCTGAGACTGCACTGAAGCATGTCCCCACCTCATCTGCATGCAGACACTTGTTCTGTTGCTAGGACAGTGATTTGATCAGATTTCCACTAAATTCTTTTAGTCAGTTTTCTAATATAAGTTTTCCCAGGATTTAAGATGGCTCCCTTGGCCAGTCATTTGGATAGCAACAATTTAGGTGTGTCCAAACAGAAAACAGAGTCAAACCCACTAGGGGATACATTTGTCTTCTGGGTTAGGAGGATGCCCAGGTCTTCAGAGATGAAACGCCCATTCCTAACACTCTGTATCTCCAGAACTCCCACCATCAGAAGTGGCCAGCTATTAGCTGTTTATCAGAGTAGAGCAGCTATTTCTATCAAGGTTTGGAGAGGTGCCACCACGAAATGCCTCAATAAGTGGAAATGCTCAGGAGTTCCTGTTCCCTACGTGACATCAAAGGTCCCTTTCAGTTCTAAATGGCATGATCTCTGTGCTTCTCTTGGAAGAGAAACTGGCAGAAACAGGCTGCAGAGATGGGTGTGCATCTGCTAATAACCATACAAATAACTACACTTTGCAAACTGCCTGCCTGTGGCTGGCTCAGTAGTCCTGGGAGCACTCACTGTGTGTCACCTCTGTGCAGTGATCACGCCCACCCCATGCAGCCTGCCCTATAGGGGCACCCAGAACCCCCACGGCACTCACAGCCCCCACTGCTTCCATCTGTGGAGGTGCCACACCCTTCTCCTTTCTCAAGTCAGGGGACCCTGCCTGACAGGTGCACTAGCCAGACCATCACCTTCAAAATAAGCCCAAATTGGCTCAACTTCTCTCTCCTTGCCTCGTTTGAATCATTTTAAATAATTTGGTTCTCTACCCAGTTATATTGTCCAGAAGTATGTTTATTTCTAGCCAGACTGGAAATAGAACATGACTTGGGGACTTTGTGAAACAGGAACCTAATTATTTTTCAAGTTACCTTTCCATTTTTTATTTGACTGGTGGAGACGTTTACAGACATTTACCCCTGTGCCCTGCTTGTTCCTATTTACAAAAACCATAGAAGAAAAATGACTTTTTTCCTTTAGTATTTTTTCTAATACTTTGATTTTAGTCTTTTCAAATGACATAAAAGTACAGGCAACCACAGCAACACAGTCACTTCCTGGTTTTCACTGTGCACTGAGCTGGCAGCTAAGCACCTGACCTCCCTGACCTAGTGAGATCTCAGGAGACCATTTGAGGCAGGCACTATTGGCATCTTCTTTTACCATCTGGAAAGTTAATGAAGAGACCCAGTTTACATCATCAGTACAGAAATATTGAATCATAAAATACCAAAAGGGGATTCTGATAGGTGAATCTTTTTTTTTTTAAAGATTTATTTATTTATGCATACAGAACTGGGGTACAGGCCAGAGGTGCAGGGGCGGTGAGAGGATTCCCCAGAGACAGAGCGGGGAGCAGAACAGGCAGATGGACAAAGTACACTGCTGAGGGGAGCAGTGGGCGGGTCAGCAGAGGTCTGACGCACCATGTGGTCACCTCCGGGGCAGGCAGGGATCGAACTCATGTGGAAGCAGCTTTAGCTTCTTAGTGCTGTGCTTTATTTAACAAACCGCTGCGCCACCAGGGAGGGCCCCGGTAGGTGACATCTTGCATCAAAATTTCAAAACTCAGTTTCTGTATTATGACTTTTTAGTGGCTTGCAGTAAAGTGAGAAATCTCATACTAAGTCACAACCAGAGTTTGATATGACAATTGTTTGGCCTCGGGGGCCAGTGCAGTGCTTTTGTAGAATAAGACTATGTCCTTATGTGGTCACCTCGAGGGTCAGGAATAAGGTCCTCACCTCATGAAGGCTAGGTACTTCCAACCACTATGGAAAACTATTTGAAGGTTTCGCAAACTGCTAGAAATGGAGCTTATGGCCCAGAAATCCCACTCCTAGGTATCTACCCAAAGACCACAAAAACATTGATTCAAAAGAACACCTGCACCCCCATGTTTATTGCTGCTGCTTATTTACATAGGGAAGACATGGAAGCAGCCCAATACCCAAAAGTAGATGACTGGATTAAAAAGATGTGGTACATATACACAATGGAATATTACTCAGCAACCTAAAAGATAAACACATGCCTTTTTCAGCAACATGGATGGAGCTGGAGGAATCATGTTTAGTGAAACAGCCAGAAAGAAAAAGAAAAATACCGGATAGTTTCACTCATAGGAGGAGCATCAGGGGTGGGGGCCAAGGCGGGGAGAGCAATTGTAATGAAGTAAAAATGAAAAACAACAAACAACTTTAAATCAGAGACATATTACATGGGTGGACAGAGGAATGGTATCACATCTGGGATGGGAAGAGTGCATGGGACTATGGTGATGGCACACAGGTGAATTGGTGGTGGGAAGTCCACAGAGATTACAACTGAGATCGAAAAATGCACAAAATGAAGAATGATGTAAAAATAAATAAATAGTTTGAAAAGAAAGAAAGTAAGGTACTTCTTTCTCCGTTGCCCAACATGACTCTTATTAGATAGGCTCAGGTGCCCTCAGGTATATCACAGAATGTTTTTCTTTATCTTCATCACCTACCTCTGCAAGACGGGCACTCCATTGGGCTGGCCCACACCTTTCCTAAAGCCCAGTGCTGAGTACACGGCGGACATAATGGTATAACTGTTCATCAAATACACAAAATTTGTTAATGCCCTGATCATCTTCATTTCCTTTAGAAATGCATTACATATTCATGAATTCACTGCAGTTGCCTCTCATGCTCACTATTATTTGTATCACCTCTTAACAAGGAATGTAAGTTTACTCTGTCGGTTAAAATGGTGTTTTGTTTTTTTTTTTTATCTGTTAAAAAAGGTTTTCTTCTAATTTCCTGGTGTTAAGATAACAACAACATTTGAAAGTAGTGCTTTTCCATGTTTGTTTGTTTTTTCCATAGTTGTTTTTGTTAAAAGATTTATTTGTTTATACATATAAGAACTGGGGTACAGGCCAGACAGGCGGGGTGGGTGTGTGTGTGTGACAGAACTCACCATTGACACAGTGGGGAACAGAACAGGTAGATCCACTGAAACACATTGCTGAGGGGAGCAGTAGGAGAGACAGGAGAGGTCTGCTGTGCCATGTGGGCCACTCCCTGGCCAGGGATTGAACTTGTGCTACAGTGGCTGTGGATAGCTTCATAGTGCTGGGCATACCCTTGCACCACCAGGGCCCTTTTCAATAGTTTTTTTGAATGGTTTTTGTTTTGCAGGAAGGTGATGTCTGGCCTAACTCATCAGTTGAAATCACTGTGTACTTTAACCCTCTGGAAGCCAAGCTCTATCAGCAGACTGTTTACTGCGACATTTCAGGTAAAGACGTCCTCTGTGTTTTAGGTAAACTCAGCTTACCAGGTGCCCAGGGCAGAAGTGGGTGAGTGGACACTCGAGAGTGTGTGTATGTGTGTTTGTGGTCAGGTTGTTGGCCACTCATGATATCAATAGGGTCAGATTACACTCTTCTTTCTAGACCAGAACAGCCCTTGACACGTACATTGCAGGTCGTGTTATGTTGGCAAGGGTGACAAACTATACCTCTGGGTTTCCATTTGAGTTTTAGAGCAGTAAGAATATTACTTGAGATAAATTCTCACCATGTAGTTTTTGTTCTCTTTTGTAGTATTTGACTATGAAAATTTTTCTTTTTTAAGTTTTAATCTAACTAATGACAAGTGGGATAGGGAGACAAAGTGGCAGAGGCCAAAAGCCACAAGGAGGGTTTCTAGTAGGGTGGCACACTGATGACTTCCCGGGACCAGATATGTAAAGAGGAACCAAGGCAAAATACCGAGGATAACTAGAGCTAGAGTTTTTTCTCTTGGAGGAAGAGATACAAATATGGAAAGGAAGAAAGCTAAGAGGAGTCCTTAGTATTAGCATAGAATTGGAGTTATTAGATCTCAATTTATGGTGGTTGTTATGTATAGATACAGAAAGAAATGTATATGTAAATGAATGTATGTGTGTACGTACAGGCATGCACATAATTCCTCACTGTGCCCACTGAGAAATCCTGGATGCTTTGAGACCCTAATAATGCTGTGCACAGTTAGCACCCCAAGCCTGGCTTCTAGCCTCACCCTCCACTAGAAGAAACCTTGGAGGACTGATTGATTCTTGAGCCATGGCAGAAAAAGAGCAGTAAGAACGAGGAACATCCTCCTGTGTACAGTGTGTACAGAGGTATCTCAAGATGACACAGAAACCGTCAGAGGGCCCGCCTAACCAAATTTGGAACACTTTGAAAATCGAAATAAATAACACTGATAGATCATAATCATATAGTACATAATAAGTAGGCCACAAACACCAGTTATTCTATGAAGTTCAGACTTTTCCTCGCCTCTCCAGATAGATTCAAGAGAAGATGTTGCCAGAGTGGTTTTAGACACCTTGAACTTGGAATTTCACTTGCTGAGATAGAAATTTTGTTACTCAAAAACTTGTAATAGTGGCCCTGCACCCTGTCAACCTTTTTTTTTTTTTTCTTTTTCAGTCAGGTAAACCTCAATCACGGGAGACTGAGCCTGTTTTATCTAACTTACCATTCAATGACCTTTTATTTCTGCAATCATTTTTCTCTATTTCAGTAACATTGGGTTGTGCCATTAAATAGGTTTCTAGGCATACAGATTTAGGTAACTTTTTTATATATTATGCTATGTATGTTATCGTCACCACCAGAAGTCTAGTTTCCATCCATCACCATACAATTGACCCCTTTTATCCTATTTGCTCTTCCCTGTTGTAGCCATTTCTGCCATCATTTTTAATTTCCAAGATTTATTTTGTTCTTTGTTCCTTTTTCATAACCAACTGTTCTTTTATGACTGTTCCTTCTTAGACTGATGAAAAGGTAGTAATTTGAACTTTTTCAAACCAACAGTAACTCACACTGTCCAAATTGCCCATTGTCAGTTATGTTTGTCACAGGGTTCCTTCCGAGACCTTCTGGTCTGTGGTTCTCCATCTGCTTATAGGTCCATTTGTTTGTGGGTAGGTTTCCTGGCAGTGTGGCTGCAGGGGTTTCTTGCTGGGGCAGAGGGAGAGTAGTGACAGTACCCAGTGTTTCCAGTCTCTCCAAGTGTAACAGTTCCAATCCTCTGCTATCACTGGCATGTTTTCAGGCATTTCTGCTCAGTCAGTTTTCTCTGCGTGGGGTCAGGCCATCTCAGTGGCACAGACGGCTCTGCTTCCCCTCCCACCCAGGCACGTGTCCCTTCTCAGTGATGTTTGCCGCGACTCCCTTGAGTCTAATCATCAATATGACCCTTATAATCGTCTTTCTAGTGCTTCGCTTATAACTTTACCAACTGTGTATTCATCCCCAGGCAAATGATGTACTTTTACCTGTTTTCAAAATGTATACATTGGAATCACACCCTGTGTCTTATGCTGTTAGTACCAAGAAGATAAAGTCAGTCAATAAACGTTGACTAAATGAAGAGCGAATCCATGGGAAGGAGTGAACGGATGAGTGAGTGAATCCTAGTCTGATCTGGTCTCCTCATTGCCTGTGAGTGTGGATTCTTTACCAGAGTGAATGCAGAATGGAGTCGACGTTTCTGGATTGACATAAGTCTGTTTCTGTACCGCAGCATCACATGCCCCAGACTCCTCGGTGGGCCTGGAGGACTGTTGGCACATCAGTGTTCAGATGGAGGCTGGAAATAATCCAGGCGCCCCCGTGCCACAGGTGGTGGGGCCTCCCTCCCATCCACGGCTCCCCTGGGATGTCGTGCTTGGCCACCTTCCAGAGGGTTGGCTTCTCTCCAGGAGGTTCCCAAGCATTACATAACTGGTTATATTTATCTATTGTTTCATTTGTAGTTCTGAATTCTGCCACAAAATTCACATCCTGGATAAACTGAATAGTATAATTTTCCATCTGCGTGACATTTTTCTTTATTTTGTTAGTGGTTCATTAAAAGATAAGATTGCCAGAAAAGGGTTTTGTTTACATAGTAATTCCATATTATCTTCCCTGTAAATTCCATGCAATTCTGTGTGTCTTGTCAAGGGCTGGTGGTGAAGCCTTAGTATTATCTTCAAAGTGTTAGTAAAACCTCCTGGTTTTAGGTCACTAAGAAATACTTCTTGGGCTGGGAGAAAAGTGCCTTCCCTTGTTTTTGTTTTCCTATATGCCTTGAGCTTATAAAAGCTCGTGCATTTCAGTAAGCTTTCTCCTCACACCTCTTTACATAAATGATAATTCTCTACACACTGCAGGTTATTCCATAATGCTAAAATGTGTCATTCTTTTTCATGGTCAACAGGAATCCTCTGTATTTACATACCACAATTTAAGTTTTCATCCTTTGTCACTAAGAAGTAGTGACAATCAGTTCATAAGTGTATATAATACACACTGGTAGACAGAGTAATGACGGCCTCTCAAAGATGTCCATGCCCTAATCCCAGAATCTGTGAATATGCTACTATAGTTATGTTACATTCTGTTGCATCGTAGTACATTACAGTGCTGGGCGGAGTTTCACGTTGCAGAAAGTGGAATTAAAAGATGACTCCTGAGCTGACCTTAAAGGCAGAGAGGTTACCCTGGATCCTGTGAGTAGCTCAGTATAAGCCCGAGGGTCCTAACATATCAGCGTTGGGCAGAACTACCTGTCAGAGTGACGACATCCGAGACAGACTGTCAGCCACAGGCATGAAACTCAGTCTTAGGGTTTTCAAGGAAGACTCCCCAGAGAAAGGGGCCCTTGAAGTATTTGTTAGTTAAGTGAAATAAGTAGAGCAGGGGGCAGTGACTAGGCATCAGAAACACTGACAATATATAGCAAGGGCCCAAATTAGCAAATAATTGCAAGTTGTTAGGATATGGAGAGAGACAGAGGCATGTGGGGTAAGGAGAGACAGGGATAGAAAATGAAGCTGAAAACTGGACGAGTAAGTAGATTCATGGAGCACTGCCCTGGAATGCCATACTAAGGGGGGGGGGTGTGCAAGTTGGGGGGAGCTCTGAAGCCTCTAGGTGGGGGTGTGAGCTGTTTAGATCCCAGTATGGCCAATATGGCAAATTTAACACCACTGACATCTGAAACTGAAAATTTTTCTTTTCACATTTTCAGATTTTCTTAATAGTGCTCCAGCTGGTACATTAGAGATTTTTAAGTGTTTTGATCAACATTTAGAAAAGGTTTTGTCAAGGTCTTGAAACTGATCTATCATCTATCTTCAGTTTCCAATGGAATGAGTCAATTCCTAATTTACTCATGAAGATTACCTGTCAAAAAAGAACTCAAGGGAAACCGCCACATGGTTTGGATCAGCATATGGGAGCATCTGAGGAAGCAACACCTTCTGATTCAAACTGCGACATGTATTGCTAGATAACATTACCAGTGGGTGCTTTCTGAGTCCAGGACAGAAGACCAGTGGGTGGAGTGACTACAGTGACTCCATCTCCTTCAGAGGCCCAGCCAAGACGATGTCCCATTGTCCATTTCATGCCATGTATGCAAGCTGCAAACCTCTGAATTTTTAGTGCAACTTAGGTCTTGAATTTTGTCCTAAGTGAACTAAAGAATGGAGGTTTAGGGAAGAGAAAGATAAATCACCCCAATAATTAAGAACATTTTTGTACCTTTACAACAATAAGAGGTGTAATATGCTACATATCTTTAGGTTTTCTTCGTCAAGACTCATCAGACTGCCAGCTCCTATAAGGCTTCTTCATTGTATATATAGGAATTTATGTTCTTGATCAACTATTGTGCTTACTAAAATTATATTTTTAGTGCTCAAACATTCCAAGCAAAAATGCAGGGGGTAATATACAAATATCTATGTATATATAATTCAGATTTTAAAAAACTTGAACAAATGCAAAAAAGTATCTTTGGTCAGAAATATCAATAGCGTAGTGAAAGTAGTGTGATCCCAGGGATAATGTCAATAATTTTTGCTTTTGTTTTTCGATTAGTAAGATTGATTCTAAATTCTTACGAAGGAAAGGTATAAACTAGGGTTGCTTAGAAAAATTCAGAAAAACAAAAATGTGAGAGGACTAGAACATGAAGAAAAAGTGGTTATAAAATAAATTTGTTATTTTTGTCCTTACCGCCACTAGCAACAACAAAATAGTAATCAACATGCTCAAATCCCCTAAACCACCCCCAAATCCACATTTCCCAGTGCTATGTGAACAAGATAAAGCCCTAACTTGCTAAAGCCACTTTGTTCCCTTTCTCTTTGCTCCATAACAAACCTCCCTAAATTGAGTAGCTTGAAAGAACTAGTAATCATTGATTTTGCTCCCAGGCCTTTGGTCAGGATTTATTTGGTCAGGATTT